TGCAAAGTATTACATGTTCATATCATATAAAAATGCTTGGAGAAGTTGCATTTTAATATGGGTCAGAAGGGGATAATCTCTGAGAAAGACAAGTCTCATTCCTGGATTAGCGTCCAAACTCATTTTGGTTTATCTACAACTATTGATAAAACCACCCAACATAAAATTATGCATGATGCCCTACATACAATTCTATCTTTCAACAACAAAATAATTTCTACTTATAAAGGTATATATTCAATCAAGTACAACTACTATTGCAATTGAACTTTTCGAACCCCGCGAATACAGATCACAAGCTTTATTCACAAAATTTACGGATCTTGCGAATATAGCTCACATTCTTTTATCAAAATTCACAAAATTTATCACGTATATGGTGAAAGTTTCCTTGGACTCTACATATTGTGAAAATGTACGGACTTCAAGGTGGCACCTTAAAAAAATTCATTCACTTGGGGGAAAATACGAAAGCTCATTACATTACAATTGACTGTAGATGTAGACTGCGCAAAAGCGTCGGGCCATTGGGTGATACGCATGCGCCCATCCATTCAGTTTTTCTCTGTCCAGCTTGGAAAAATGCTTGGTAAGGACAAATCTTCTATGAAGTGTTCAAATAAATAGGCACCACCAGATAGACAAAAGACTATCTTTTGATAGTCTAGAAGGGTCAATGAGGTTTTACCGGAAGTTTTTAATACTCAACAGCAAGAAGTGTATCAGAAAGAAATCATTCATATGGAAGAAAAATCCGCGAAAAAATAAAATCGCACACAAGAAGTTTTTTCCAGGGTTTATGTAGATGCTTTTGTCAACCACTCAAAAGCTGGCCTACGGTATTGGTGATATAGAGCGTAATATTATAGGGTAACCACTGGTTGCTTTCATAGAGAAAATTAAACCTCATCATCATACTCTGCTTATTTGTGAACTTGAAACAATTAAGGAAAGATGATTCATTTGAGTGAAATGGGACATTCTCAGGTCACTCTTTCTTTGGACTCTCCATTGTACCAATGCAAGCAATTGCAGACATTGAAGAGTACTGGGATGGGTCTGGACTAGTTGCAGCTGAAATATCAGATTTAATGAATTCTTTCAAAGAGGTGGACGTGATTTTCAACAGTAGATAAGCTAATATAATGGCCGTGAAATTGCATCTCTCTGGTTAGTCTCCTGACCAGACAATTTGATAGAGAATGTCCACGTTAAACGATTCTTGTCAGAATGGATACCTTCTTGAGGAATAAAACTACAAAGTTTAGCTTCCAAAGGGAATAATAAAATGAAAACACAGTATGATCCAAGAAATTCACTGATTAAACAACTTAGAAATTCCTTGATTATATAAGAGGTTCAAACTGATAGTACAGCATCAGAAAGATTCAACAGTTCTATCCTTGCCCTATTACAATACACTTCCTATCCTTCTATCCAAATTTGCATTTGACACAACAATGGAACCACTGTCAAATCAATTTTTGCAAATTTGAACCGAGACTGAAGCAAGCTAAATTGAAGTAAAACATTTAAAGTAACAAGAAAGAAACTGAGCATAAATACAAACATTAAAACAAAACTACAATAAATGGAAAGCAAAATTACCTGGACCAGAGCAGCGACTGCAGATTGGTCCCCGCAGCAGTGATTGGGCTCCATATTGAGATAAGCGGTGGCGCCACGGCAGCTTTCGCCGGCGGCCTCAACTGCCTGTAGCTCCGCAGGAGTGGTTCCTTGCGCATACAGATATCCCTCTCCCACAACAACCCTTCCTCCGCTACCTGAGTTGGTAGCTATGACACAACCAAAGTTGGGGTGGGGAGCTGTGAACCCCGCAGATTTGTCCGCTAACTCGGCAGCGCGTTCGATGTACGCGGCATCAAAGGTGAGTGGTGATGGCGATGGGAAAGAGGAAGAATTCAGAGTCGCTCTGCAGGTAAAGGGGGAAGAAACGAGACTTGAAGCTGCTAATGGGAAAACCATAATGGGCGCCGGAGCAACTCTTATCCAGTCAATACTCATTGGGATCGTTTGAGGAGGGTGATGACTTGATTAAATGTTTTCCCCTTGTGTACTCATCTGTTCGTTAACAAGGTGATTATTTGAAGTGGTAAAATATATCGAATTTTGCGTGTCTCGTATGTAGAAAAATAGGGGGAACTTTCTTATAGTTANACGCTATCCTTCCAAGTTACATCGTTAATTTTTCATTACATCAATATGTAAAATAGCAAATAGTAAGAATTTACCATTATATTTATAAAAATTATAAAATGAACCCTCTAATACATAATTAAAAAAAATGTGGGGAAATGGACAAGAACACAACATTTGTTGAAGGATGGAATGAAGAGCAATACTATAAGTGCACGTACATTTAGAGTTGTCAAAATTGGCTGGCGGTGCGGGGTGGCCCGTAGCCCGCCAAAGCCCACCTAATGGCGGGGTGGGCCTGAGAAAAGCAGGCCGAACCCACCGCTGCCTCAGGCCGCTGGTCCGACGGGCCAGGCCCGCCTATTTTCCTTTAAAAAAAAGCTGATTTCATTATTAAAAAATGAACCAAAAGCATAATCCAAAAATCTGCTTTCATTTTCAAAAATAAACTTCAAAAAAATGCCAAAACAATAATCATGATCCAAAAACTAAAAGCACCACAATCATCATAAACCAAAAGCATCATTCCACCGTCAGTCTCAAATGCCCCAAAATTAATATAATTTCAGCCTGAATTTCATATTTTTAAGCCACAAAATTTCAGTCACAACTTCACCATCGACATTCAGTACTTTTAAGCCACAATTTGACCTATTTTCAGAGAGGCAGAGATAAAATTGAGAATACCTGAGACCTGGAATGGACAGAGACCGGGAATGGACGGATACCGGGAAACCGCAAAGAGGCCGGTGACCGGGAAAATCGCCAGCCAAACGCGGAGGTCGGAGTCGGAGGCCGTGGATTGAGACGGGCGGCGAGCTTCAACTCGGAGACTGGGCGGTCGGAGTCGGAGGCGACGAAGAAGACGAAGGGTCAGAGAGGACGAGGTTCGGAGGGCTGTGTGCGTCGATTGTGTAGATTAGGCGTGTGCGTGTGGTGTGCCCGTTTCTATTCAAGAAATTAGAAGATCTCAATTTTGAATTCATTTAAATAAAAATTTATATAATTTCTTTAAAAGTATTTAAAAAATAAAAATTCGAATTTATTATTGTATTAAGAAAATTTTAAATATATTTTTTTAATTAACTCATGTGGTTAAATGACGCGTCAAATAAAGTAGTTGCTTAAAAGGAAAATATAATATAAAAACAAAAAAGAAGAGCTCCGAAGTAACAGTCGCCGTGTAATTTCAGTCTTAAATCTTTAGTTAAAAATATTTCATAACTATGATACTCGTCAATGATTGCTCCTCCACAGCCAAAACAGAGGAGAAGAAAAGGCTAAAATGACGGAGAAATTGAAAGACAAGGAGAAAGAGGGTGAGCGATGGACGGCCGGAATTTCTAATCTCACCGAGATCTCGCAAAATATCGACTCTCTGCAGAGGCTGCTGATTAAGAAAGCCGTTTACGTCGACGGTGAAACCTTCGCCAAAGCTTCCCTTAGCTCCCAGCAAGCCCGCACGATCAAGGTCTCGCTTGTTTCTGATATCGAGTTAAACGCTTTTTTCTATCTGCTGAGTGCTTATTTATGTGGAATTCTTCACGGATTCGTAGGTTTTGGGTTTTATTTTCAGTTGATTGTATTTGATTGTGGAATTATTGCGTGTTTTAAAGGTTTTATTCGGTGGGCAGTTCACGATTTTCTTTTGATTTTAAATTGTGCTTGATCTTGGCCTGGACATGAACAGATTTGTTAGTGGTAAAATTAATTATGTGGGTTGGTGTTGAAAAGTTATGTGAATTTCTCATTGTTTTATCCAAGACATTCTAGNGTGTTTAGTAACTTTAGCTTATCTGTGATGCTTCAAACTAATAAACCTTCGCAGTTACGAAATAGCTATAATGTGACATTGTGTTATTGGATTGACTACTTATAAACTACTTTAGAGGACATAGAAAATGATCAACAAAGCTGTTTTAATGACTGTAGGTACTTGAGCAGAGGGTGGAGACCTTAGAAAGGGAACTCGATGCTGCCATATCGGCTGCTGCTCGTGCTCGTACTGAAAAACGTCAGGCTGAGGCATCACAGAAGGCTGCTGAACTACGTGCCCTAGAAATTACAAGAGAATTGGAAAACACGACAAGTATGTTAATTTGTATTGAGTAACAACTGAATCCATATATTGTTTCTCTTTTTTATTCTTAGTTTTATTTACTTTTTGGCATTCCATATCCATATGCATCTGTATACATCACCAGCAACTCGACCAAATTGTTTTGATGTTGAAGTGAAAAAAATTGTGTCATGTAATTTTGTTGTTGCCTCTATGGGATTGTTGGAGATTAAACCTCGTAGAATTGTACCATAATGTGGAAGATATCATCTGCAGTAAATTGAACTAGAAGTACTTGATGGGTGTGCTCTTGCTGAAGTCTGAAATATAGCTTTTGGTGCTCACCCCGTAATGAAAACTCTTGGGGCTTTGATTTCTTTAATTAGTGACTTCCTAACAGCATGTGGAATGGTGGCTGCAGACTTTGTGTGGAGTTTAAGGCGTGTCACCAGTCATTACCATTGCCATTTTGAGCATACACTACTGTGGTATTGATGAGATCCTTTAATTCTCATGATTGACTCAACAGCTCTTTGTTTGGCCTCAAGTTCATTCTTGTAGATGTGTTGAAAACATAGCATCTCGGCTTACGGATCACGAAGCACCCATCACAAACTTCTTAACATGTCTTCTACCATACTAGCGTCATCATAGCATTTTTTCTTGGTAAATGATGCTTGTGCTACTGCATATTTGTCGTCCTGCTTAGTCTTGGTTTTACTAATTTTTGTTCCAATTCAAGGGTGAACTTGGAAGCAACAGAATTAATGACTACCTGAACATTTTAGGACTCTAGGAAATTGAGAACTGTAACATAGTGTGCGTGAAGCTCAGAAGTAAATATGAGTAGACTTGTAGTTTTTTTTTCCAATTCTAGACCACCGAGATACAACCTATAAAAATTAAAGGACAAGGAAAAAGGAAAAAAATAAGTAAATCTTCTTTGCATGTTGCTTTTAAATATTAATTGCTCAATTGACTAACATTGAATATTTCTGCTGCAGAAGTATTTGGACTTCACATGGAGGAGTTGCGCGCAAAGCAAGAGGAGATTTCTAAACGGGATAAAGAGATAAAACTTCTTGAGGCTATAATACAGACACTTGGCGGCAGAGAGTCACTTTCGACATAAGGCTAACTCCGACCATGTTTACCTGCTTTTGTACAATGCTAAACACGTAGAAATTCGCGCATATACTATGATTAATGAATATATGCATTCTGTGTATCAAAAATTTTCAATTTCTTGGTTGTTGTTTCTTCCTTCCGTTTATTGGCTGGCGTTTTTTATTTGAGACAGAGTGAAAATGAGTATGTTTTCTGCCTAGTTTTAAAGCATCAAATCAGATTGCAAAATGTATGGCAAATAGAAAATACTGACCCTAGTTTCCCCACATTAAGCAATTTTAATGTGACTGGTGAAAAAATTACTATTGCAAGTCCTTGGACATGTAATGTGGTGTGTAAACGACGTTGACTGGCTCGTGCGACCTTGAATCCGCACTCGACCGTGTTTGATAAACCTGCAATAGCGCTGGCACTGGGAGTAGTCACAGCGTATTAGGTAAATGGTGAACAATTATTATATACCTTGTAAGTATATGAGATTGTGTAGAGTTTGGATGATGATACATTACCTTATATATAAAAGGTGTTATCTTGTTGCCTAAGATTGTCCTTCTAGGCTGCCCTTAGTGCCCTAACTTATCGGTTCTGTTAGGCCACATGGTTTTATCCACTTGTGTTTCTTATTCTAATAATATTTCTTCTTATCTCTTAATAAGTAGCGTATTCACATCAGTCTACCTTGTTAGATGGTTTAATTGTGCGACTAGCTCAACTTCGTACGACCCAGGTTGCTCTAATTTCCAGCGTATGAACTTCGTCTCTTACGTCTCGCTATTGACTTCTCTGTCTCCAGGTCGAGTTTCTATCAGACTAACCAAGAGCCCTAGCTCGACCTGCTAGTGAGCTCCATTGTCTGCGAGGTCACCATCGACTTTGTGATTCTTTCACCTCCAATGTACTACTCGATCAACGTGTCGCTCCACCCTGTCCAGTCAAACCGCTCCTTAGGTCATACTCGACCTAGTATGAATAGCAGCAGCTGGCAGGGGTGGATGTAGACTTGCAACGTTAAGGGGGAACAATGTAAATTTTACGAAATGCCAAAAAAATAACATAATATTATTTTAAAATAGTTCTCTATATATTATTATATTTTGCATCATTTAATAATTACATTATTTTTAATATTATCAAATAAATCTTTCTCCACCGTAAAAATTATCATTATTTTTATCTTATATCTTTTACCGCCTATATGTGGGCTTCTGTTTATATAAACATTTCTTCACAATGAATAAATAAAAGTCATATTAATTAGTAATCAATATGTACAATAATTTGATTCCTTGTTTAAAATCTTATGACTAAAAATTAAAAACTCCTAAATAAAGTATGCATCAAATTTAAAACAAAGCATTTAAATATCTTAATTAGGAACATGACTTTTTATCAAAATTATGTAAGCTCTAAAGTGGTATCACATCAATTCTTAAAACCCCTTAATACAAATATAGGTTTACAAGAACTAAAATATGAATTATAAAGTTGATAGGTGCAAAAAAGGATAAATAGAAATCATAGTTGGGTTAATATTTAATTTTTTTCAAGACATGATTGTGAAAAGATTACTTTTTAGATTTTTTTTTACATGGAGTAGTTATTTTTAAAAATGAAACTCTATTATAATATTAATTATTATTACTACTTTCAATAAAGACCAAAGAGGAAGGCATACTTGGGCAGCAGACTTAGCTGCATATTCAGCCCCGACCTCTCTGGTTGGACCCCCAGCATTTGAGTTTCTAAGAAGGCAAGACCTTCATGAAATAGGAAGAGATCTCCCCTCCATCGGGATTGTTGGCCAACGGTTAGGGGGACCTCGACTTCCACATGCTCCACATGACATCGCTTCGAGCCCTTAGTTGTAGTGGTCAAGCTCGACCTCTTTTGTTCGATGGTCGTCTGTTTAGATGGAGGAGGAGGTGCGAAGGTCTTAGGTTTGGTTACAGGTTTTATCGGGCCAAGCTCGTTGAGAAGCCTTTGGAACGACCTTACTCCCTGTAACGCAAAATTCGTATTCTTGAATTTATAAACACGAGATATTTGTACAAATGGATTTTCAACGGATCAAATGAAATATAGTGGATTCTAAATCTCTATTATTCCTCTGATTAATTTCTTCAAGAATAATCTTCAAGTGGATTTGAGACTTTTGGAGACGAATCTTCAGTTTGATCTCCGCTAGTCTTGAATTTGAATTTAAATAACGTTTCTTCGAGGGCTTGACAGCTTGATCTCTAATCGAACGTCTTGATTTCCCAAGAACGCGAAGAACACGAGTCCTTGGTCTTCGTCGCAAAGTTGATTTTGATCTTCTCTACGCCGGTTTTGAAGTTAATAACGCAATTCGGAGGCTCGGTTGCTTATTTCCGGATTGAACGTCAGTCTTGAGCTTGAATGCGCTTTATTCTTCCTTCGAATCTTCAAGAACGCCTTTGGATCTTTAAGAACACTTGAATCTTGTTGAGAGAATTCTCTAGAGCTCTTGAACTTGAAACTTGAAATATGAATATGAATTGTGATTTTTCACCTTAGAGATAGGTGTTAGGAGAGAGAGTCTTAGAAAAGAAGACTTCAATTTGATTGGTCCATAATTTCCCAAAATTTATTTATTAAAGAGATAATTAGAATATGGACTCTTGGAAAAGAAGACTTCAATTTGATTGGTCCATGAATTTCCACTTATTTATCTATTTAATAATTATTAAAAGAAATAATTATTTATTTTACTCTCCAAGAAAATGACATGTGGCATTCTTTAATTGGCCTTCAAAATATACATGTGGCATTCTTTAATTGGCCAACTATATATATTAATTAATCAATTAATTAACTATTTAATTTAGGAATTAAAATTTGATTAATTTCCCAAATAAACTAGAAAATTATTAAATTGATTTTAATATGAAATTTGACACTTGTCGTCATTTTATTGGCTCAAATTTTACTTGTCTACACTCCCAAGCTAAGAGCATCTCCAATGCTCTAATTTTGTTGTAGGATAAATTTTGACAAATGTCAAAAAATTAAATAGATTGTGATACATGTAGGACAAATGTTGAGTTCACAACTATTAAATTAAAAAATCATCTTCAATGTATAATGTAGTCTAATTACAATATTATCTAGTTACCAAATATTGAATATTTAATATGAATTAATAGAATTAATTAAATAACTAAATAGTTTGAAAATGGTAATAACAAGTCTCTCTCTTCTCTTTATTGGCTAGTTAGAGCATCTCCAATGTGAGATGTTAACTTAATAAAAAGTTAGTCATATCATCAAGTTATAAAGTGATTACAAAAATCACTCTCCAATCCACAATGTTATGGGCTCTTTGATGCTGACATGGAGAAAATAAAATTCCAAAGTGTGAAGCCCACTTTCTTAGAGTGTGGAGGAGAATGTGGATGAACCACATTCTTCTCTACATCGTAGACATTAATTATGTCCACTTCATCACAACATTTGTGATCACATTGTACATTGGAGGATGAAAAGTTATGATATTAATAAATGTGTTGATGTGGAATGTAATTTGGCACTACAACATTGAGCATTGGAGATGCTCTAAGGGAGCCTTTCCTCTACTGCTGGAGGTAGAAAGGGTCAACTTTGCAGACTTTGAACTTGTTTTCGGCATAAAACAAGTGGTTAAATCAGGTCACAAGCGATGAATCACATAGTTTTAGACAATCAATTCTGAATCAAGTATACCAGGGTCAGCATCACTTAAAGGAGGAAAAGTCCCTTTAGTAAGACCACAATGGAATAAGAGACGTTCTTCATCGACCATCAAAGTAGAATTAATAAGAAAATCATACCAAGGTTGGATTAATTTAATAAACTAATTTAATCATGGTCATCTGTTTTTGGGTTGTTCAAACTTATTGTAGAAAATGAAACAAAAAATATGCAGAAAGATTCCACCTCTTACATGTACTTATATTTTTTTAAATTCAATGCATATGAATATATAATTTATTTTTTTATATTTTAATTATAATTAACTAATCTTATAATTTTATAATTGAAGTATTTGAAATTAATTATTTAATTATTTTACATTTGTAGGGAGTTGATGTGATGTGGATGACGAGAAAGAAATTGATGATGACAAGGTGATCCGTCTAAAAAAGAATCCAATTCCCAACGAATCGTCACTGCTGAAATATTATTCTAAGAGAAAGTTGTTCGATAAATGGAGCTCACAAAAAACACAGAATGCTAAGAATGTGAAGACAAATAAAAATCTGCTCAATGAGAGAATGATATTGAAGAAGATGAATAGAGTATTGATAATATGAATATGTGACGATGAAATCAACTCTAAGACATAGGATATTGTATATAAGAAAAGGTTCAATAATGTTAACCATTAATTGTAATTGTTCTTTTAATGGTTTTTTTTAACTCTTGTGTATTCGCACGGGCAACTGTATTAGTTCTATAAGTTAATTAAATATTTTTTAGATAATCCTTATACATCATTATATTTAATTTGATTATATATACGTAACAATTAATCTGCAAATTAAATGAAAAAAAGAAGTTTACAAATCTCTAGATAATTATTTTTGTATTTTCCAATTTTTGGTGGATAGAAATCTAAATTATTNAAAAAACACATAATTACATTTGAATAACAACCGGAAATAACCAAGCAGCCACCTAGCTGAATGCAGTGAGAGGATAACCCAAATGGCAGCCTATACACCATAACACACTCACGAAAATAAAAAGGTCCCAACAGGGATAATGAACATAGGTCCCATCAGAGATAATCAACACAGCTCCCAAAGGGAGAAAAAACACACAAAAACCACAATGCAAAAAATACAAACACAACAAACCCTACAACACCAAACCCAACAAAAACACACAAGAACAAAACTAAACAAAACAAAACAAAACAAGACCAACCAAGCCCTCCTAACAGCCGGCAACCACCCCAACACAACACCGCACAAGACGAAAGCCGAAGCGACACCTCCAAGACAGCCCAAAGCTCGGGACACAACCTAGCAACTCCCTTCAACCGAAGATGGCGGGCTAACATAGATCCACCCCAAACGAGCCGAGGACCAACTCGGAGCCTCACCCGAGAGGCTCACACCAACCCCCACCCCCACACAACTCTGCCTAGGGCTCTCGAAAATGATCGAAAGGCTCCAGCCGGACAGAAAGCCCCGTCTCTAACCCCAAGGGATGTGGCAAAATTAGGGGTGAAGCCGGCGTAGGCCTCACCCCCACCCTCACCGCCGAAGAGCTGCCCTAAATCACCGCCACAGTCGCCGAATCTAAGGAGAGGAGCTGCGTCGGAAAGTGCAAACTCAATAGAGGAGAGAGAGGCGAAGGCCACGCTCGGGCCGGTCATCCCCGCGAGCTATTGGGGCGCCGTCTGGAAGGAGGCGGGCTGAGGAGGAAGGGAGAGACGAGGGTTTCGGCAAATTTGAGTTTTTATCCTAAGAGAGATAAGAGAGCTTTTTTACCCTAATCACACTTCGCGACGTCTGCTTTTCTATCATGCAAATTTTTAAAGCTTGAAATATCTTGTGTCTGCTTTGATTAGAACGTGTTCCTATGAATGCTTGCCGGTGGTATACAATGAATGTGTTGATGTAGCCAACTCCCGCCAAATGTCTAATATGGTGTAAAGTTGTGCTAATAATACAATGTCTAATATTACAAATTTGTTATGATGAAGCCAACTCCAATCATATGAAAAGTTGCGGTACAAATACTTGTTAACACAGTCGCTCAAGGATTTTCTTTTTTTTTTTTTTCATTTCTCAGT